CAAAGCCCACCGGATAGTAAGGTCAGTTTTCTGGTAGCCCTCGTACTGGGTGCTTCGCTGTAACGCAGACATGTCCAGCTCCGGGCTGCCACACACCAGGATTTCAACCTCCTCTGGACGAAGCAGCTGCCAAGAATCAAGGAGAAAAGATTTAATTTTTTTTAAAGATGAGAAATGATGCCACTAGAGTCAGATTAAATTTTCCTTTTGGCATTACAGAAAAATTAACAGAATATCATTTAGTGTAAATCTGTAACTTAGTTACAGACTGCTTTATAGAAAAATGAATTCCTCAGTCCTTTGAAGAATCTCTTACTACTGTTAATAGTAAAAAGCAAAGTACTGTATAGCATCATATTTCAGCATATTTCTTTTGTTCTTCCCTTATTTTCTGGTCTTACATTTATTACACTGACTTGCTCGTTATTTGATTAGATCACAAACGGATCAGGAAAAAGATTAAGTTTGTCTGTATGGAATTTCGAGGTAGGGACCTGGTCCCAATTTTGGTTACAACAACTTAATTTACAGTGTAGAGTCCCAGTGTAGGCTGATGAGCAGCAGCAACTGACAGCCCCTGACTCAGACCAAGTCAAATTGAGGGGCTTTATCTGTTTTCAGTAGAACGCCACAGAAAACAGTCCATTACCTGCTCATTTTCTTCTTATATTGCATTAATCAACTCCATTGATCAACCAGGACTATTCATGAATCCTAAAGATTGCCCAGCTTAATTTAATTTAGATAAATCACTGTCACATATTTGTAAGAGAAGAGTCCCATTTCATTTCCTTCTTACCAGTAACGCATACGAAGCGCAGACACTGTGAAACCCGTAATAGAAAGCTGCAAATTGTTTGTAGATTGATTTGTTGAGAAGAAAATCAACGTAGAGCTGCACATATTCTGGTAAAGGAACACATTTTATTTTGTTACATCATAATAATTTCAAATAATCTCTCAGATTGTACTGAATTAAGGGAAATAAATGGGTTTCATTGTAGATACTATTAAATTGGTAGGTACACCAGAAAGGACTACAGTCATTTCATTTTCACGCTTTGTTAATGAAAACCTTAGCTTATAAGAAGGAAAAAAGGACAAACTTAAATCTGCCAAATATATGTAGTTAATATGTACTGAAGTACCTTTCCTGTTCTGATTTGTGACTGGAATTTTATCTCCATTTGGCTTTAAGTTGTAAGATTTTATAACACCAAATTCTTCCTGAAAAACCTGGAGAAGAGGAGTCAAAGTCAGTACTGGAAAATAAATTCATACACTCACAAACTATAAAGCTTAGATTTATTATTTCATGTATTTCCTCTGTCTCTCTCTTTAGCACACACTGTAATTCTGAGGGGTTCTTAAAAGTTAAATATTACAATTTTCAACAAATTGCTCAAGAAATTGGTATTTAAAGTAGAAAAACTGACCCTGTTACACAGTGGCATATCGAACTGACCTGCAGGTCCACAGCTAGAGAGTTTTTTCATATAAAAGAACAATTTAGGAGCATCAGATATAATTAAGATGGTATTTATTCCCCTGCAGCTCACCTAGGAACTCCAAAGTACCCGCTTTACAAAAATTCTCACATGGTCTGACAATAAGGTAATTCAAAGTTGAGGAAGAAAAGGTCAATACTAGTCCCACACACCCCCATAGAGCAGCCTGAAATGTTACTAACTAGTGTGTGTGCTGTGAGACAATGGCTAAATGAAAAGGCCTTTCTTGATGGAAGTAGCAGCTGGACTGCAGGTCAGGCTGCAGTTCCAGGGAGAGTTCCTGGATGAAGTCTATAAAATAACCCGAGTGAGCCCTGACTAGTCTGGGCTAGACAGAAAAGGGGCTGTTCTGCAGCCAGGGGAATCCCACAGACCCGGTCACCCACTGAAGGTGACGGTGTCCCAGCGAGCAAAGGGCTGGGAACACCCCAGCACCTGGAGTTTCAGAGCAAGCTCTGACCCCTGGGCAGTTATATTCCCAACAACCAGCAATCCACTGCAGAAACACTGGGAAAAAAAATAATAAATCACCAAACGAGTTTGAGAATCACTTATAATTGTATATTTAATGACCTGGAATGTTGAGTAAAAATCCTCTTCGACATTGCCTTCGTAGGAGAGAAGTTCACTCAGTCCGTGGGCCAGTTCCTACAATGCGAGTAAAAACTCTGTAGTGAATTTACAAACCTGAGCATGGAGCTTTCAAGGACGTGCCAGAGTCATTCCTATACAGAAAGTATCTTGGAAAAAGCTGCATATTCAAAATGCACACACAAATTAAAATTCAATGCTTAATTAATGTGTGTCTGTATACATATTTCTTTATTTTTATTTCAGTATAAACTGCTACATTCTTCCTTTTACTACTGAAAGTGTCTAGAATGCTCATATCCGATTTTGGTATCCTACCTTCAAGTAAATCACAAAAAATTCTGCTATGCTAGAAAACATGGGGAAATTCTCTTTTCAACAGAAGAAAAGGAGACTTTACCAACCTGTGCTGAAAAAGGCTGTTTTCAAGCAGTTTATAATTAACAAACATAATACTTACAGGCATAATCTGAAACAGGTCCTCTAATGTGACATCACAGATGCCGACGAGCGCGTTGTGGTCACAGGGAACAATGGGGGGACTCAGCAATTTCCTGTAACAGCAGGGTGGGAAGCGGATATCCAGGGTGATGCTGTTGTACACAGCAAGGCCCATCAGCTGGACATGCCAAACGTTAAGGGCAAACCCCACGCAGCGTTATTACAGTTAATATTTTAAGTAACTTGGACAAAATATTTTAAGATTTTATTCAGCATACTCTAATAGATGTTAAACAAATAGAAAAAATGGAATTTTTTTTGGACTGACAATTATAAATGCAGTTTTGTATTACAGCTCAATAGTAGTTAAAATGGCTAAATGATGCACATTTGCAGAATACTTGAGGATCTTCATCATAATATTCTATATACGCATTTCTAGAATAATTTGTTCCAAAGTATTATTACAAAAAAAAGTTTTTAGAGATAACTGTAGAAATATATCTTTTAATCCAAAAATTCTAGAGAGCTCAGTATAGGCATTTTTCTTTCAAATAAATCTAAAAGCATGAAGCCAAATCTGCACCGGCACATGAGCTCATCAGTTGGCACATATAAGTGTGTCTTGTAAAACAAATTTGAAATTATTCCAGAAATTAGGAGAATCTGGTTCATGGTTCAGCTTCTCACTAGAACAGAATAGTTCAGTTGGAAGAAACCTACAATCACCTGGTTCAACTGCAATTCATAAAACGGGGACACCATCACCTCACCTTAGTGGAGTTCTAAGTATTTATTATCGTTAATCATTTGCGAGGACCTCATAAAGGAGCACAACAGAAAACCTAGGAAATAAACTCATACTCAAAATAACATGTGGCTTCCATTCAGTTAAAAAAAGTGCCACATACTGATCAGCACAGACTTAAATGAAATATTAATGTGTACAGGCCCACTGAATGACACCCAGGGGTGTAACTACATAAAAAATTACAACTTCTACACAGAGTTGCATGTTTAATCTTCGTTCTAGTATTCACTGACTGTAAAATGTACCACATAGCCACATACCACCATTTTCTTCTTATTTTTAATTCACTTGCTTGAACAACACTCTTTTTATACATGGACACACTTGTACATAACAATGTCTGAAGGAGGTTTAATCGACCCCTGGTTTCATTCCTGTACCAACCCAAGGGATGGCCATGAAAGGATACGGCTCCAACCAACCGGAACTCAGAATAGTTATCGCACTTAAAGCTGCTGAACCAGTGGCAGTGAGAGTCCTTGTGGTAGGTGAACATGCCTGGGGAACAGCCAGAGATGTTCATTGGCAGCATGAGAAGGAAGAGGCAAAGGTGGCAGGTGACAAACAAGTACATACGGCCTTATCTCCACTTGAATATTTGCTAAACCATCTACTTCAGAGGCTGCTACACCTCTCTTCCTATTTTGGAACAGGAATATCATATTCCAGTTACAACCAAACAATATATTAAGCTAAATAGAAGAAACTTATTCTTAAATCCAAACACACAAATGCAAACATACACTTGCCTAAATTCCAGAAAGCTTCCAAGGGCAGAGGAGTGTCAGGGTTTCAATAGCTTGCAGAGCTTTTGCTTATTCTTGTGAGCTTGTCAGTAGGTCTAACAAGTCACTAGCACTTCTAGAAAACTCTCAGTTTTCTCCTCAGAAGAGAAATGGAAACAACCCTTTCAAAGGTCTGATTCCATTTCAGTTATAACAGATTTAAATTATCCTTGCCCTACTCCATAAAACAGCCAATGGTCTTCTCCCATCTGCCTAGAGGTAAATCATGATCTGCCTCTGCATAAGGATTATCAATTAGTAATGCTCTGCCTAATACTGGATTTATGAAGAATTCACACGCATTGCTGTTTTGATAATTTAAAGTGAATAAGTTTTCACATTGTACTTCAGAACGTTTGAGGACTCACCGTAATCTGGGTGAAAAATCTGGCGAATCAGCAGAAGAAACCACTCTTTTGTCAGGCCACCCATATCAAGACCAGCTTCCCCTACAAATGTGACTTTCAACTTCTTTTTCAGATCTGCTCTCTTCCTTGCTAGCTGTTGCAGAACAGGTAGGGAAGAAGAAAAAGGAGATTTTACCATAATATCACTATCTCTAGCCACAGAGGACATGGCTTTGTCTCAGCTGCTTTTGCTTTGTTTAAACTAGTAATTTGTGTCATCTCCTACTAATAGGTCAAGACTGTATTAAAACAGTGATTGAACTGTAGAAGTGAGATGGACCTATGTAAGTTTTTGCATACACAGAAGATATTTTGCCAGGAATAAATGACAGATTAAAAAAAAAATTAGACATCCTTTGAAGATATTTAGAAATCAGGAGATAGCTAAGACTGTCAATATTGGGACACTGCTCTATTCAGCACAAGATACCAGCCAGCAAGCACATGCTGTGCTATTTTGCCGTGTTTTCAGATAAACTGTATAGCTATTTATTCCTCAGCCAACCTTCTATGGACCCGATTCTACAGAGAGGGGAAAGGAGGAGCTGTTTCTTCCTGGATTTCTTACCCCCATTCAGCTGTTAGGAATTTAACATTGGTTCAAGCAATCTAGTTCCTTCAGTGCGATGATAAAGTTTCATTTATTTCTTAATATCTGAAATGCTGTAGATTAAAATTTATTTTCCAATCTCCATTGTAAAACACACAGGTGTGAAGTGCTGCTTTCAACATTCTGTGCTAGCCCAGTTTTGTTCCAGGCTGAAGTCAATGGACCAAATATTTTAAAGTATCCTACTGTTTATCTCTGTCTCATAGAACAGTTTAATCACCAGTACCTTCTCTAAGAAATAGAACAAAATAAAATTTGCACTTAGCTATTGAAGAAAATCCACAACAGCTTTGAAACTACAGATTATGCAGATTAATTTGTTCATTGTCTATAGATCTGTCTATAGATATGTGACTAACACAGAGAGGGCAGACAAGAATAATAGAATATTTTACTCTTACTGCAATTAAGTAATTCACTATGGACACAAGGCAATCAGGCATCCATGCCCCAGTAGGAGTCAATGGGGACAGTGACAAATTGGATGCTGAAGTGCCTTGAATGATCTGGGCCTCATTCAGCTGAAAGAAAAATCTATAGAACACAGTGGCTGTTCATATTTTAAAAAAATACCATACCGCATGCTGATAAATTCTTTCCATTTAAGGTATAAAACCCAGACTTACATCTGCATTTTAGAACCAGTTTCCTTCCCAGCTCCTAATTTACTAACTCGGAGCAGGCACACCAGGAATTCTTGTCATGTAGTTTGTGCAGTGAAAACCACAACACACTGTCTTTAAATGCTGGCTTTCCAAGTTAATGAAAGTTTCAACATTCTTCCGAAATGTTATTGTATTCACTTTTGTCACAGCTTACTTAAGAATTTCCAACAAAGCTGCTGAAATAAATGATAGTGTGATACAGAGCATTAGTTTGCCACATGTTGTGGTTTTCATTCGTTCCTGAAACATTTCACCATATGTGTAATTTCTTTTAAATATTTTTTTTGGCAGTTTTTTGTTTGTTTTGTTTACTCTAATGCTACAGTAGATCTAGTTAGTTAGCTGTCAAAGAATGAACTTAATTAACGCTTAACACCTGCAGTTTGAACTTGAATCCCCTCAAGCTGAAAAAAGTACCTTTTGACGCCCTTGTACAGTCAAGCCCGTTGATCTGTAAAAGCTGAATATAGAACATCTAAAACCTCTTATTCATAAAAAATAAATTTTTAGCAGTAAATGGCACTATCAAAACCCTATTTGTTCACAGGCAGTTATTTACATGCTTCCTAGACAGCCTGTTTCATTGAAAAAGAAAACCAGAATATTAAAACTGCATACATTTTATAAAGACTAAAATTCCTATTTGCCGTTGTGAAAATATGGCTACATGCTCTACGTTATATTTCTTTTGTTATTCATGTTAATTGAAAACATTCTACCACTGGGATTAGCTAATAAAGAAATATTCTGTATATCATCTCCCAGTGGGATACCTGCAATGTAAAGAAATTACAATTAATGATAAAGTGCTATTAAGAAAAAAAGAGAAACAAACTATAACTTAGAAATCGTCTTAGTCAGGTTTCAGGTTTTTTTGTGTATGAAGAAAGCTATTTTCTATGACAAAGCAAGCAGTAGATGTATTGCCATTCAGGAATAAACACATTTATATTTAATTTAAAAAAAAATATCTCTAAGTGGGGTAAGACTGGCACATTATCAAGAGACATAACAACAAAAAGCTTAAAGGCACAATCAGAAGAGAGTGAATGCTACATAAAAATGCTGTTCTTGAAGTATTCCATTTTATTCCAGGCCAAAACCCTCTGCATTTGAAATTCCAATGATCAACTTCTGCTTCAGTTCCTTCTTGTTCTTGTAAGGAGGGAGACAAAGCTGGTTGAAGCAGGTGTGGGCCACAGGTAACCTGAAGTGATTGAAGAAAAAAAACCCCAAACAAGCCCATTTAATACCACCACAACAGGGGCAGAACACTGCCAACCACCCACATGTGTTTAACTAAACCGCCCTTGGAGAGGAATCCCTGTGAAGGGAACACTTATCCTGGTGCTGTTGCAGGGAAGGAAATTCCTCTTAGGTGCAATGCCCCTCCTCTGCCCTTTCTGCTTTTGTTAAGTTGGAAACATTTCCTTCTAGGTTTTGCAAGCTCCAAGGTATCACATGACTTCAAAACCAGTTTTTCTCTAAACACAAGTATTTTTAGAAATAATTCAGAAAAACTACTTACCAATTAGTGGATGTTTCACTCTTTGAAATCTTAAAATTCAAGTCAGCCATTCCTCCCACAGGTACTCTATCGCTTCCTGTAGCAAAGTGGAGCAGCTTCTTCTGAAGGTCAAGAGAAAATCCAAGTACTACATCCCAAAAGTATCTATGTTCAGTGCAGAGGGAGAAGAAAACGGTGTAAGATGCAATATCATGACAAAACAGTATGAGCATGATAATACAACTTCAAGTACTACATGATAAGTGTCATTTACTGGTGTTTAATTAATGTAATATATAGGACATCAGCAGTATTCCAATACCCAAGGTTAAATAAACTCCTAAAGACCTGAAAAGTCTTGTTAAATGATGCCCAAACCCACTTTTCTATAAAAATATAATTGCTCTACTCACTAATATAAATGTCCTTAGTTTTAAAACTGAATACCTTCAACTCCTGCCTAGCAAAATCTGAGTCTTTATTATCCAATCCTCTGAAAATGCTTTTTCTCTTCCAATTCTACTTGATACTATCTCCATTTCAATCTGATCGTAACCTTTTAAAAGTATTCAGCAACACATTATGCCATTCAGGATCCAATTCTTCCTACTTACAGTAATTTAATAGTGCCTTTGCCTGATTTGGAAATCAGTTTTAAAAACTTCAATCATTCTCAGATTATCCTTGAAGAGATTACTCCCAACAGCCTGCCATTTGATGATGTTTTTAAACTCAGTCATTCGAATAAAAACAACAAAGCCCACCGGATAGTAAGGTCAGTTTTCTGGTAGCCCTCGTACTGGGTGCTTCGCTGTAACGCAGACATGTCCAGCTCCGGGCTGCCACACACCAGGATTTCAACCTCCTCTGGACGAAGCAGCTGCCAAGAATCAAGGAGAAAAGATTTAATTTTTTTTAAAGATGAGAAATGATGCCACTAGAGTCAGATTAAATTTTCCTTTTGGCATTACAGAAAAATTAACAGAATATCATTTAGTGTAAATCTGTAACTTAGTTACAGACTGCTTTATAGAAAAATGAATTCCTCAGTCCTTTGAAGAATCTCTTACTACTGTTAATAGTAAAAAGCAAAGTACTGTATAGCATCATATTTCAGCATATTTCTTTTGTTCTTCCCTTATTTTCTGGTCTTACATTTATTACACTGACTTGCTCGTTATTTGATTAGATCACAAACGGATCAGGAAAAAGATTAAGTTTGTCTGTATGGAATTTCGAGGTAGGGACCTGGTCCCAATTTTGGTTACAACAACTTAATTTACAGTGTAGAGTCCCAGTGTAGGCTGATGAGCAGCAGCAACTGACAGCCCCTGACTCAGACCAAGTCAAATTGAGGGGCTTTATCTGTTTTCAGTAGAACGCCACAGAAAACAGTCCATTACCTGCTCATTTTCTTCTTATATTGCATTAATCAACTCCATTGATCAACCAGGACTATTCATGAATCCTAAAGATTGCCCAGCTTAATTTAATTTAGATAAATCACTGTCACATATTTGTAAGAGAAGAGTCCCATTTCATTTCCTTCTTACCAGTAACGCATACGAAGCGCAGACACTGTGAAACCCGTAATAGAAAGCTGCAAATTGTTTGTAGATTGATTTGTTGAGAAGAAAATCAACGTAGAGCTGCACATATTCTGGTAAAGGAACACATTTTATTTTGTTACATCATAATAATTTCAAATAATCTCTCAGATTGTACTGAATTAAGGGAAATAAATGGGTTTCATTGTAGATACTATTAAATTGGTAGGTACACCAGAAAGGACTACAGTCATTTCATTTTCACGCTTTGTTAATGAAAACCTTAGCTTATAAGAAGGAAAAAAGGACAAACTTAAATCTGCCAAATATATGTAGTTAATATGTACTGAAGTACCTTTCCTGTTCTGATTTGTGACTGGAATTTTATCTCCATTTGGCTTTAAGTTGTAAGATTTTATAACACCAAATTCTTCCTGAAAAACCTGGAGAAGAGGAGTCAAAGTCAGTACTGGAAAATAAATTCATACACTCACAAACTATAAAGCTTAGATTTATTATTTCATGTATTTCCTCTGTCTCTCTCTTTAGCACACACTGTAATTCTGAGGGGTTCTTAAAAGTTAAATATTACAATTTTCAACAAATTGCTCAAGAAATTGGTATTTAAAGTAGAAAAACTGACCCTGTTACACAGTGGCATATCGAACTGACCTGCAGGTCCACAGCTAGAGAGTTTTTTCATATAAAAGAACAATTTAGGAGCATCAGATATAATTAAGATGGTATTTATTCCCCTGCAGCTCACCTAGGAACTCCAAAGTACCCGCTTTACAAAAATTCTCACATGGTCTGACAATAAGGTAATTCAAAGTTGAGGAAGAAAAGGTCAATACTAGTCCCACACACCCCCATAGAGCAGCCTGAAATGTTACTAACTAGTGTGTGTGCTGTGAGACAATGGCTAAATGAAAAGGCCTTTCTTGATGGAAGTAGCAGCTGGAGGTGCAGGTCAGGCTGCAGTTCCAGGGAGAGTTCCTGGATGAAGTCTATAAAACAACCCAAGTGAGCCCTGACTAGTCTGGGCTAGACACAAAAGGGGCTGTTTTGCAGCCAGGGGAATCCCACAGACCCGGTCACCCACTGAAGGTGACGGTGTCCCAGCAAGCAAAGGGCTGGAACACCCCAGCACCTGGAGTTTCAGAGCAAGCTCTGACCCCTGGGCTGTTATATTCCCAACAACCAGCAATCCACTGCAGAAACACTGGAAAAAAAAATATATGACCAAACAAGTTTGAGAATCACTTATAACCGTATATTTTATGACCTGGAAGGTTGAGTAAAAATCCTCTTCGACGTTGCCTTCGTAGGAGAGAAGTTCACTCAGTCCGTGGGCCAGTTCCTACAATGCGAGTAAAAACTCTAGTGAATTTACAAACCTGAGCATGGAGCTTTCAAGGACGTGCCAGAGTCATTCCTATACAGAAAGTATCTTGGAAAAAGCTGCATATTCAAAATGCACACACAAATTAAAATTCAATGCTTAATTAATGTGTGTCTGTATACATATTTCTTTATTTTTATTTCAGTATAAACTGCTACATTCTTCCTTTTACTACTGAAAGTGTCTAGAATGCTCATATCCGATTTTGGTATCCTACCTTCAAGTAAATCACAAAAAATTCTGCTATGCTAGAAAACACAGGGAATTTCTCTTTTCAACAGAAGGAGACTTTACCAGCCTGTGCTGAAAAAGGCTGTTTTCAAGCAGTTTATACTTAACAAACATAATACTTACGGGCATAATCTGAAACAGGTCATCTAATGTGACATCACAGATGCCTACGAGCGCGTTGTGGTCACAGGGAACAATGGGGGGACTCAGCAATTTCTTGTAGCAGCAGGGTGGGAAGCGGATATCCAGGGTGATGCTGTTGTACACAGCAAGGCCCATCAGCTGGACATGCCAAACGTTAAGGGCAAACCCCACGCAGCGTTATTACAGTTAATATTTTAAGTAACTTGGTAAAAATATTTTAAGATTTTATTCAGCATACTCTAATAGATGTTAAACAAATAGAAAAAATGGAATTTGTTTAATTTTTTTTGGACTGACAATTATAAATGCAGTTTGGTATTACAGCTCAATAGTAGTTAAAATGGTTAAATGCATTTGCAGAATACTTGAGGATCTTCATCATAATATTCTATATAAGCATTTCTAGAATAATTTGTTCCAAAGTATTATTATAAAAAAAGTTTTTAGAGATAACTGTAGAAATATATCTTTTAATCCAAAAATTCTAGAGAGCTCAATATAGGCATTTTTCTTTTAATTAAATCTAAAAGCATGAAGCCAAATCTGCACCAGCACTACAGCTCATCAGTTGGCACATATAAGTGTGTCTTGTAAAACTATTTGAAATTATTCCATAAATTAGGAGAATCTGGTTCACGGTTCAGCTTCTCACTAGAATAGAATAGTTCAGTTGGAAGAAACCTACAACAATCACCTGGTTCAACTGCAATTCATAAAATGGGGACACCATCACCTCATCTTAGTGGAGTTATAAGTATTTATTATCATTAATAATTTCCCTGAGAACCTCATACAGGAGCACAACAGAAAACCTAGGAAATAAACTCATACTCAAAATAACATGTGGCTTCCATTCAGTTAAAAAAAGTGCCACATACTGATCAGCACAGACTTAAATGAAATATTAATGTGTACAGGCCCACTGAATGACACCCAGGGGTGTAACTACATAAAAAATTACAACTTCTACACAGAGTTGCATGTTTAATCTTCGTTCTAGTATTCACTGACTGTAAAATGTACCACATAGCCACATATCACCATTTTCTTCTTATTTTTAGTTCACTTGCTTGAACAACACTCTTTCTATACATGAACACACTTGTACATAACAATGTCTGAAGGAGGTTTAATCGACCCCTGGTTTCATTCCTGTACCAACCCAAGGGATGGCCATGAAAGGATACGGCTCCAACCAACCGGAACTCAGAATAGTTATCGCACTTAAAGCTGCTGAACCAGTGGCAGTGAGAGTCCTTGTGGTAGGTGAACATGCCTGGGGAACAGCCAGAGATGTTCATTGGCAGCATGAGAAGGAAGAGGCAACGGTGGCAGGTGACAAACAAGTACATACAGCCTTATCTCCACTTGAATATTTGCTAAACTGTCTACTTCAGAGGCTGCTCCACCTCTCTTCCTATTTTGGAACAGGAATATCATATTCCAGTTACAACTAAACAATATATTAAGCTAAATAGAAGAAACTTATTCTTAAATCCAAACACGCAAATGCAAACATACACTTGCCTAAATTCCAGAAAGCTTCCAAGGGCAGAGGAGTGTCAGGGTTTCAATAGCTTGCAGAGCTTTTGCTTATTCTTGTGAGCTTGTCAGTAGGTCTAACAAGTCACTAGCACTTCTAGAAAACTCTCAGTTTTCTCCTCAGAAGAGAAATGGAAACAACCCTTTCAAAGGTCTGATTCCATTTCAGTTATAACAGATTTAAATTATCCTTGCCCTACTCCATAAAACAGCCAATGGTCTTCTCCCATCTGCCTAGAGGTAAATCATGATCTGCCTCTGCATAAGGATTATCAATTAGTAATGCTCTGCCTAATACTGGATTTATGAAGAATTCACACGCATTGCTGTTTTGATAATTTAAAGTGAATAAGTTTTCACATTGTACTTCAGAACGTTTGAGGACTCACCGTAATCTGGGTGAAAAATCTGGCGAATCAGCAGAAGAAACCACTCTTTTGTCAGGCCACCCATATCAAGACCAGCTTCCCCTACAAATGTGACTCTCAACTTCTTTTTCCGATCTGCTCTCTTCCTTGCTAGCTGTTGCAGAACAGGTAGGGAAGAAGAAAAAGGAGATTTTACCATAATATCACTATCTCTAGCCACAGAGGACATGGCTTTGTCTCAGCTGCTTTTGCTTTGTTTAAACTAGTAATTTGTGTCATCTCCTACTAATAGGTCAAGACTGTATTAAAACAGTGATTGAACTGTAGAAGTGAGATGGACCTATGTAAGTTTTTGCATACACAGAAGATATTTTGCCAGGAATAAATGACAGATTAAAAAAAAATTAGACATCCTTTGAAGATATTTAGAAATCAGGAGATAGCTAAGACTGTCAATATTGGGACACTGCTCTATTCAGCACAAGATACCAGCCAGCAAGCACATGCTGTTCTGTAAAACTGATTTTTAGGCAATGGTACCAAGCTCTTTTTCTTTCTTTGTCCTAAGAGGCAGCATTTCACCCAGGTATGTGAAAGACCTGCAAGGAATTAAGACTACAGCCTTTCACAATTAGCAGTGATCTTCTGGATCAAGTCCCTGTAAAATTTGTCTTTAAATCACTAATTACTGGCCAGCTCCAGAGACAGTGTTGAAACCAGTCAGGGGGATGCATGTGAAAATGATTTCTAGGTCGCTAGCTGCTCAAGTAAGTTCCTGTTGCTCAAGTTTTATAACTATAGGTATTTGTATTACTTGACACAAACCTTTTATTAGCTGCAGTGATTTTCCTTTGCAAACTGATTTTTAAAATCTGAAATGCAAATAATACATCTTTCCCCCACCTCCCATTCCCCACACCTTGAGACTACAGATGATAGAATGCATTCTTACTCATCCCTGAGAGGGGTAGAAGAAAACATAAGAAATAAATAGGAGAATATTTCAGCTATCAGAGGTCTGGAAACTGCTCTTGGTTACTTCAGTGTGGTAAAAACCACAAGCCTGACAGCGCTCAAGAGAAAGGAGAATTACCACTGCCAGTTCTGTCTTGGCCATGACAGTCAAGCTTTAATTCAGCAAAAAGAAGTTTAAACTTATGTTTTCTGAACACGAGCAATCAGAGTTAGTTTGGATTGGTTTTCACCACTTCAAATTGTTTTTCAATACCATCAGGCTGTTTTTAGTGGTGAGAAAGAGTAGGGAACTAGATTTCATTAAATAATGTTAATTAGCAAGGATCAGTGGATACTGAAGAATTGCCTACTTTAATGGATATACCTGTTTCATTTCTAAAACTGGAAAAAATCATATTCAAGACAGTGAAAAATTAGTTAAATCAAGACAAGAACTTAAGGATAGCCTAGAATAATTCTTATAGGGCAAGTAAGTTAGTGCAAGAAAAGAATAAAAATATTCCAAGAATTAGAACAGAACAAACTCATCAGCGATTAGTCACGTACTATTCATGCTCCTACCACGGAACCAAGTCCCACATAACCTGGCAATTATGCACTGTCTTCTTCAGACTAAAGCCACAGACACAAATACATACCATGGGACATGCCAACATGTATGTTTCTTATGCATTTAACTGTGGAGCAGTATGAAGGTGAAAAATAAATTTCAGAAGGTCTACCCTAAACCATTCTGCAGCACTGCCACTGTGACAGTAATGAAGTTGTTTTTATTTAGTATTATACAGGTACATTCCCAATCTCTTGGTACAGGAAGATTTAACTATGACTTATCAACTCAAATCTAAGTGCAGTAGCTATTCACAGCAACACACCATTTAATTAAATTTTTTTGTTACCTCATCAAGTGAGTCACTAACAAGGTGCGTCCTCCTCACTTTCACATTTAGGAACAACATATTCATGTCAGGTTTCTGTCTGCGAGAGACTTTATCCACAAGGCTTTGCTATGTGAATGAAAAACAAACATCATACATGCAGTGTCCTCATTTACAAACCAAACTGCTATGCTTGTTAAATGTAAAAGTCCTTATTATCTCGCCTTAATGACATTACCCTAATATGACAGCTGCTTCAGTAGCTTCTAAGACATGGAAAGCAATTTATTTTGACTGCAGATGGCATTTATACCAGATTTGAACTAACTTATCAGGAGAGCAGAACCACCAGACACCTGAAGACAGAGGCAGAGAAAGCCCCTCCTGAAACAGAGGCTGCCCACCAGCAGCAGGACTCATGAACATGCAGATGCATCTTGGTCTTCCTGTGACAATGTATCTTCACAGAATAAAACAGGAAGCAGTCCAAAATTCTCATGGAAATTTTCTTCCTTAAATTATCTTGTTAATTTAACATGCTAGCACATTATACTGGTTTCTCAAGAGAAAAAAAATAGATTACTATAACTCTTTCTCCCTAACACTGGTATTTTTAAGCATCCTGAAACTAAGCACATTAAGAAGTTGCAGTCTAGCAAAAACTTGTAAAACACCAGTGGATGAGACACAAACATTTGTCACTGACTTACCCGTGCAATACTTATCATCTGCTGTTCTGAGTCCCTTTGAATAATAACTTTTTTTGCCGCTATAGAAATAATAAATGGGTATTGACAGAAAGAAAACCTAAAAAGAGAAAAGATAAAAACATATCCCTTTTAGCATCTAGCATATTATTTTCTTTTTTAAGAATACAGGAGTGAATCTTCGCATTATCATCCAGTAACTAACTTCCCTCCACTGACAGCAATTTGTGAATAGCTGCTGGGTTTTTTGAGGTTTATACACAGGCACAATTCAGCAGAATAAGCTGCTATTTTCAAACACTACTAGAAATTGTAATTAGTAATAAAAGTTACCCTCAAAGCTCTTTTAAATTTTTTTTTTCATTATGAATAGACTTGCTAAACAGTCATCTGCTTTACATACTAACTTTTAATTGCTACACTGAATTAGAAAAAAAAAATAATATCTTAAATACAAGACAGACAGCACTGAGTGCAGCATTCTCACATCCACAGTAGCAACATTTCTGGTTCGCCTTATCTGCTGCAGAATTGATTTTCAAAGGCACTGATTTTCCACAGGTCCTTCAGATTTAGCCCAGGGTTACAAGTGCTTAGGAATTCTAAAATACCACAGTCATATTCCACTGCAATCAAATAATACAAACAATTTTGAAAAGCTTCAGAAACCATCAAGGTAAAAGATTTTTTTGTTGTTACTGGTTACTTTGGTAATTTTTTGGTTGATTTTAGCTTATGCATCACCTAGCAGAAGTTTAAATTGAAATACCCAGAGCTCCAGAGTCTACGTGTGCATCTTCAACCCACACCTCATGTACAGCCCAAATCCTGCCTCTGAGAAGCTCTGGTTTCTAACAGCTTTAAGAAAGAGAGGAAAATGAGGAAAAGTATTGTCTCTTGGAAATCCTAAGGGTATGTATACCATATATATAGACACTATAGATACACTATGCTTAAGATAGATATACATAGCGTAGCTATGGTGCTCTGAAACACTATTGAAAAAGTAACACCCAGTTACTCCTCTTACCTGTGAGAATTTCCATAACATTGCCAGTTATGATATTCTTCCATAAGATCAATATGATCAAGTGTAGAGTTATAGAAATCCGTATATGCAATAATAGGAGGACTGACCAGACTATTTGCAGCATCTACAAAGAAAACACAAAAGTCTTTTAAAAGAACACTGTTCGGATGTGACAGGTCTGTTTTCTTTCTAGGCATCCCGAGCACCAGTGACTTCAGACAGTTTAAGCCAAATCAGCTACTAGTAATGTTGTCTCAGCTACAGAACTACAACATACCACAGATTAATTACTGTAGGAAATACTAAATCCCCAGTTCAGCCCCTTTACAACAAGAGAACCTCCCTTTGACTCTAGCCCCCTTAGGACATACACTAGGTAAGGCTTCATGGATAAAGCATGCCATGTTCTGCTGATATCAATGAAAGCAGTTTGATAGAGGGATTTCTTAAGCGCCTTCATTTAGTTTCAGACATAGCAGTTTCTTTCATAAATCCAAGGGAAACCTTAAACATCTGTTAATTCTGTGGGTTTTTGTTTGGACGATCTTCAGTTGTTGTCACAGGAAAAGGACGCATCTGTTAATTCTGTGGGTTTTTGTTTGGATGATCTTCAGTTGTCACAGGAAAAGGACACACAGTGTTTATTCTCTACTGGAAAACAGGTAGGAAGACTTGCCAATAAAAGATTTTTTTTTTTGCTTATTACTTTTTATTTGCATTTTATTATAGCTGGTACTGTGCCACCAGCACTGTCAGTCTCCCCCAGAAGAGGAAAGGTATAAACTATCCCCCCCATATGTATATACATACACACAAGTCAATGTAAATATCCATGCACAGCTCAGGATCAGGAAAGATACCTACTAAATAAAGCCAGGACTTTGGTTGCTGATGGAATCCACCAGGCACATTTCACCATAGGTGGAAACTCTTCAGGTTTTGCAGGAAAGAGGCGTAAGGAAATGAACTGCAGTAACCTGTCCACCACCTGCTTGAACCTCCTCTGCGAAATCCTAACACAAACAGGCCACAGTTACTCCCGTGTGAGCACTGACCACACTAGAATTCATATTATTCAGTATTATTTTAAAATAAACAAAACCAAGCATGCTTTTGTCCTATACATAAAAAAATCCCAAATACAAAGTCTGAAGCAGCATACTTTTAAACACTGCACCCAGCAATTCTCCTCAGAGCACCCCAACTATGCTTTTTGATGTCTGTGATTTAAAAAAAATAATAATAATGCAATAGAATCATTACTTGTTCTTGAGTTTTAGTAATCTAGAAAACAAAATAAGGAGAACAAAAATCCTTAGCTGTTTCACTCTACTGTCTGAATACTAAGGAGTTCTGAATTTTGTTTCACTCTACTGTCTGAATACTAAGGAGATCTGAATTTATTTTGAGATACTTAGTCCTATTGAATATAGAGTGGAAAGTACCTCATACGCATGTGACAAGTGCACATTTTAAATTCTGTGCTGCACCTCTTCCATAATATCACAACAATACACATATAGCATAGATATATTAAAGCATCCTTTTCTAAGAACTCTCCTATTTTAACGGATTAGATTTCCAACACAAGTTTTAAGAATAAAAACATCAATAGGCCTATTGCATCCTTAGCCAAGGGGGTAAACCTTACTTGTAAACACCAGTTCAAATGAAATCATGTATGACCACAATTTTAAGCAAACTGAGACATATCACAGGGTGGGGTGACGGAAATATAATTCCCATCCTTGCAGAGAAGAAAATCTTTTATGAACAGATTCCCCAGGAGATGAGGGAATTGTGGATGTGGCCATTCAAATGTTCACCCCAGAGCCACATCTCTGCACATTGTTAGTTACAAGGTGGGCACTGGGACACCAGCCCCACAGCCCCTCTTCGGGCAGCTCCCCGGAGGGCTTTGTCAGTGAGGGGCTATTAGAGGCATAGATATATTAAAGCATCCTTTTCTAAGTAAGAGCTCTCCTATTTTAACGGATTAGATTTCTAACACAAGTTTTAAGAATAAAAACATCAATAGGCCTATTGCATCCTTAGCCAAGGGGGTAAACCTTACTTGTAAACACCAGTTCAAATGAAATCATGTATGACCACAATTTTAAGCAAACTGAGACATATCACAGGGTGGGGTGACGGAAATATAATTCCCATCCTTGCAGAGAAGAAAATCTTTTATGAACAGATTCCCCAGGAGATGAGGGAATTGTGGATGTGGCCATTCAAATGTTCACCCCAGAGCCACATCTCTGCACATTGTTAGTTACAAGGTGGGCACTGGGACACCAGCCCCACAGCCCCTCTTCGGGCAGCTCCCCGGAGGGCTTTGTCAGTGAGGGGCTATTAGAGTCATTTCAATTAACTGAAACTCTAACACCGTAACTACACTCTCTCACTCCCTCCCTCTAGCACACTACAAAGCAGGGACTTGGCCTCATTTGTAGTTTTCATCCAATACAGTAAAGTTACAGTATCTTTTACAAATTATGCAAGATAAAACTTGATTTAAACAAAGATCATAAAGATGTCTGTATTAATAATGCCACTTAAAACATGTATCTAAAAATTTACATAAGTTATTTTGCATGTATTATGGAACAATAACTTACAGAAGTTATTTTGCAATTCAGGCTTTTTTGCATAAAGATATTAATTTTTATACTTAATATACGGTTTGCATCTATAAATCAGTATCACTTAGTGGACTATGTCCAAAGCCACATCTCTGCACATTGTTAGTTACAAGGTGGGCACTGGGACACCAGCCCCACAGCCCCTCTTCGGGCAGCTCCCCGGAGGGCTTTGTCAGTGAGGGGCTATTAGAGTCATTTCAATTAACTGAAACTCTAACACCGTAACTACACTCTCTCACTCCCTCCCTCTAGCACACTACAAAGCAGGGACTTGGCCTCATTTGTAGTTTTCATCCAATACAGTAAAGTTACAGTATCTTTTACAAATTATGCAAGATAAAACTTGATTTAAACAAAGATCATAAAGATGTCTGTATTAATAATGCCACTTAAAACATGTATCTAAAAATTTACATAAGTTATTTTGCATGTATTATGGAACAATAACTTACAGAAGTTATTTTGCAATTCAGGCTTTTTTGCATAAAGATATTAATTTTTATACATTATATACAGTTTGCATCTATAAATCAGTATCACTTAGTGGACTATGTCCAAATGTACTTTGAAAACAACAAAACAACTTCTTTAGCTAATTAAATTAACTTCCATATAATTTAACAAATGTACTTTGAAAACAACAAAACAACTTTAGCTAATTAAATTAACTTCTATATAATTTATAAAACAGTCATCATCAGTGGAAACACAGTAACAATTGTACTCCTTTAATTTTCATTTTTAATTTCATTTTTTTAAATTTGTTTTTTACTTTTTGGACCAGTGCACTAGGAAATGATGGTCAGCTTCTGTTAAGGCTGCTATCTGTCTTAGCAAGTGAGCATAGATGACATAAGTAGAAGTGTTACTAAATTGAGGATTCTGAAAAAGATTAAAAAAATGTGTTAGGTTAATAAACTGCAAAAAAAAAAAAGGAAAAAAGTTGTTAGATTTTTTCTCATGTTTGTTGCCAGTACAATTATGCAGGAAAGGAATTCACAAAATTGCTGTGACAGTGGTAACACTATAAAAAAATAATGATTTGCAACTTCTAACTTCTATATTGTGAAAGTATGATTTTATTTTTTCCCCCAAAAGAAAGCCCACGGGTAACAAAGGCAGTACTCAATGTATTTGTCTGGGTTCTCATTTACTATGTAGCACAAATTACATAAATCAAAGTGCTGTGCTTTCCATCTCAGTAACGAGGATTCTCACAGCTCTGTCTTCCTCCACATCAATCCAAACTGATTTTCCCTCTTTTCTATGAGCTCACGTTCCCACTTTTCAGCAGGGCACACTCCTTAGAGCTCAGAGTGTACCGCCCCACAGAAGAAAACTATTGTCTCAGAAAATTAAATTGCCATCTGATCTTCTTCAATAACAGCAGAAACCTCTCCTTGGGTGGAGAGATGTTATCTACACTGGCAGAATTTACAGGGGAAATTTGCTATAAATGTAAATCACCTATAGTAGCAAAGGCCATAGGTTACCACAGAGACAAATCAATGTAAGCCAGTCTGCTGGATAAAACGCAACACTGGAGAAAGTTACAGCAAGATAAGAAAGTTCATATACTGCAACTTTCTGGGAAGATGAGTTACAGCATACCAGTACAGCAAATTTGGGAATAAGGAAGAAATAAGAAGAAATATGTATAAGCTGCTAAAACATTTGTTCTTTCAACTCACAAAGTGACAGGAAGCAATTACACGTCTGCAAGTTCCTATTTCTGGTCTATGCAACCTTCCCCATCAGCTCTGTCCCCATCAGCTCCCATTCCCACCATGCACATCCTACACTTCTCCCATACTCCAGTACACTCTTAGAACAGGAAATTAAATGGGAAGTATCTCAGCTATACAAAGGATCTTGTTTGCATAGTATACTGGTTTATAGATTATAAATAAAGCAGACATATACTTAAGCAAAGGTACTGTATTTTCCTTACCTGTAAAAGTATACAGTATGCTCTAAGATCATCTTTTGTCCGTGGCCTTTGAACGAATGAAACAGAAGCAGAACCATACGTATACATCACATACATTAAGAGCCATGAAATCATGCACCCTATGATTTGATTTTGCTTTGCCACTGCACGTAGAACACCATATTTAAGGATCTCCACCATTCTCAGAAACTGCAAAGGACAGTTAAAGATTCTGACAAGTCTCTAAAGGCAGGGGCCTATTTCAGCATCTGTCTTTTGTGGCGTAACACAAGAGAGAAGGGGAAAAAAGGGGCTGGGTGACAGGGGAGTCAAAGCAAGGCGCTGTCTCTGGCTTTTTGTGGATCAGACTCTGCACTCTCACTGGAACATTGTCACCTCCAGACCTCCTGTCTTTGGGTACCCCTTCCTGCACTGCTCCTTCTACGCTGCAGCCACACATCAGCAGCACCACAAAATAAACTCAAGGAATGCTCCAGACCTCCTGTCTTTGGGTACCCCTTCCTGCACTGCTCCTTCTACGCTGCAGCCACACATCAGCAGCACCACAAAATAAACTCAAGGAATGACCTAGGTTAAAGCATCCCAGTTGTTGGTGAGGGTGGGCAGGAAGAATAAGTCTTACTCTGCATAATTCCTTAATTTGTCTCACAGCTCAGATGCCCAAGATTGCCCTGGTAATGAGCAGCTGACATTTTGGGGAGGTGGGGGAGGGAAAATGTGTCTCTGGCCTACGCTGCAGCCACACATCAGCAGCACCACGAAATAAACTTCAGCTCAAGGAATTACCTAGGTTAAAGCATCCCAGTTGTTGGTGAGGGTGGGCAGGAAGAATAAGTCTTACTCTGCATAATTCCTTAATTTGTCTCACAGCTCAGATGCCCAAGATTGCCCTGGTAATGAGCAGCTGACATTTTGGGGAGGTGGGGGAGGGAAAATGTGTCTCTGGCGCTGGGTCTGTCCCTCAGGGTTCAATGTCAGCCGATACCTCCAGACCTCCTGTCTTTGGGTACCCCTTCCTGCACCACTCCTACGCTGCAGCCACACATCAGCAGCACCACGAAATAAACTTCAGCTCAAGGAATTACCTAGGTTAAAGCATCCCAGTTGTTGGTGAGGGTGGGCAGGAAGAATAAGTCTTACTCTGCATAATTCCTTAATTTGTCTCACAGCTCAGATGCCCAAGATTGCCCTGGTAATGAGCAGCTGACATTTTGGGGAGGTGGGGGAGGGAAAATGTGTCTCTGGCGCTGGGTCTGTCCCTCAGGGTTCAATGTCAGCCGATGGAGTTCAGGGTGTATTTCAGCAGGTTTGCCTGCCAAAACAGGACAAATTCCTACGAGTTAAAGAAACTGTACAGGACAGAACCTTTTCTTTCTTTGGCTAAAACAAAAAAGACAAAAGTGTGTATCAGCTGTAAGTGCTGGCACTGCACTAATGCAAACTGTTGTTATAATTACCCTTTCCATTCTTGTAGCAGACCATTAATTACTCCTTTTAGGACTGACTTCTGAACATCTTGAGGCTGTGGGAAAAGGAGAGGAACAAATCATACCTAATGTAATGATACTGAGTCTCTACAACACATTGTACCAACAAGTTTGTTTTGCTAGTGCTTCAAGCCAGGTAAGGAACGGCCGTGTAAGGATGCTGAGCTGCACAGCACCATTCCTGGCAGCCCATCAGCTGTGCCTGGAGCAGTGCCAGCAGCGCCTTTCAACACTTTAAACAACTTAAAAACTGTAAAGAGCCTTGCTGAATTACTCCCACCTTTTTCCTACTAGGCACAGTGCCGACTGTCTGCTGCCCCCATCCTCGCGTCTTTCCTACCTCCCCCCCACCCAGTGTGTCCCCTCGAAGCCACCTCACACCCTGCGAGTGCTTTTTGAGACCTATCACAGCGGAAACTGCGCAGCACCAGGAGGAAAAATTCCCTCCTCTTTCACTACAGCAGTTTTCACGATTCTATGGCAATTCTCATGGGACGGTTTTAAGTATGTTTTGAGAGATTCTTCAGAAATCGTGCCTATCTGAGAAAAAGTTTTGGTATAAATTGCTTCTTAGCATATTTCTCTGCTGAAATAATGTTACAGTGTTATAAAACATGAATTCTTTTCCTCTACTTACGGTATTTAATAAGGCATCATAGACAACATTCACAAATTTGGCATTGATTCCAGAGTCCTCAATGGTATTAAATGGGGAATTGGTGTCTTTCTGTAAGTTAAATAATACACAAAGAATTTCAGTTCTCAAAAGTTTACAATATTGTAGCTATCTTTGAAAAATAAAAGTCTAACAGCAAGTTTAAACAAAACACATACAGATGTAACTATTTTCCTCAACGAAACATAAGAATCTAAGTTACTTATTTTATTAATAAGGGAAAGATGAAGCCAAACAATAGTAATCCTACACACTGGCAATATTTGTGTCACTCCATTGCCTTGTCATTCTATTTTAAAAATGTAAGAGGGTTTCAAATAGCAAAATACAAGGAATTTTCATCTTTCATCTTTGTTGTTGATCCATCATCAGACAAAAGCAGCAAAACATAAGCATTCAAGATTTGTTAAGTAACTAAAAGCCACAGGTTATTTTCTCCAGGCTCAGACCCCACTGGCCATATTAAACACCACAAGCCCGTTTGGCCCTGCAATGGGCAGGCAATGCTCATTTAGCATGGATTCAGGAAGTTTTCAGACACAAACACAATATATTCCAAGGAAAACCGGGTATGCCATCACTACACAAGAACTACTATTACTGCTTAAGCCCATATCCCACATTTTTTTAGGGACAGGGAGTTTCTGTTTCCAGATTTACTCTGTATTGCCACATTAATATTAGCAAGCCTTTAACTGATGTTTTTGTGAACACTTTGAAGACACAAAGCACCATAAGTACCAAACAGTATGATAAATTATTTTTTACCTTAAATGCTGCATTTATCTCCAGGAAAGAATCAAATGTTGTAGAATAAAAATCATGTACAGGTCTCCAATCTCCTGATGACTTTGCCTTTTCCACATCATCCCTGGAAAGAATATATTGAAATATTGGTAATATGAGGGTCCATCTTCCCAGGTGCTTAGCCCTGAGACTGCAATGTAACACCAAGCTTCCCTCACTAAGCACTCTAAGAAGACAGACAAGTATAATATCAGTATCTTGCTAACACCTGCCTTGTCATTTTAAGATCAGGGTATTGCAAGAGAACAAAAGCACAGTTTGTGTTTGATACACCCGAGCAATGTCTCTTATTCAAGATCTTCACTCCTGGTGTCTCAGTTCAGTATGTTAAGATAAATAATTAGCAGAACAGATTCCACTGAAGACACACTGACGTGATAAAATTTCTGAGACTAATTTAAGTATGCAGGCTCTTAAGCTAGTCAAATTCGTTATCACTTGTACATAATTTTATTTCTCTTCAAATTTTTCAAATCAAACTTAATCTTGGTATGCAACTGTACACATTCCTTAAGAGGACAACAAAATATATGGATTTACTCTTAAAGTCCTTCTAAGTATTGGACCTTAAAGCATGTATCTGGATATGAAATTTTGTCTAATATTATACAGTCTAAAAAAAGTCAAGAACTTAATTTCTAACTCTGAAGCACAAGCTTTGCCACTTCTTGAAGAGAAGAACAGTTCAAGCTAGAGACAGTATTTTGATAATTCTCACAGTAACCAAGTTATCAAGCCCACCACCACAACCAGACCAACTACTGAACTCTTTCCTTGTTTGAGATTAACAAAGTCAAATGTACAGATTAGGACAAATAAAAAAAAAAAAAGAAGTCCAAAGAAAGAAAGTGCACCTTTAGAAGCCCCCGTATAACTTACTGAAAGTCTTTCACAGTTTTGGTTCGGATGGGAAGGGAGGGTTCAGGAGGAACTGGTGCCTTCAGTTCTTGGGGCAGTGTATCTATAGAGATGCGCTGCTTCTGTCGTACGTCCAGGCAAATCGGTGGCAGGTCTCTCACTTATGGAAAAAAAAAATAAAGAACAATAAATACAATGTAATCATATCCCTAAACATTTAGCTAGTAAACTATAGATACACAGGACCTCAGGAAAAAAAAACAAACACACCGATTGATTACACATCTTTAAAACCCCTTCTCATCCAAGTACTTTTGTTACCGTGTGCTCATCTCAGACACGATGGAAACATCAACTAAATGAAGGGAAACAAAACCATAGAAAAAAAAACTTGTGTCCTGAGTTCCTAACTCTGTGAACAAAGTGTTCCCCCCGTCAACAGAAGTTAGAAACTGGCCAGTCCATCTCCTAAGGTCTGTGCTGGTTGGGGGGAAGTGACAAAGGTGGGGAACAACAGAGTGAAGTTTGGCTTGGGAAGAAGCAGAAACAGGGGAGAAGGTGTTCTGAGCTTTGATTTTGTTTAACTGGCCATAAATTAATACCCTCAAGTCAAGTCTGTTTTGCCTGTGGTGGTAACTGGAAAGTGGACTCACCATCTTCATCTCAACCCATGAGCTTTTTTCATCATATTTTCTCCCCACGTGCTGGTGAGGAGGGGGAGTGAGAGCAGCTCGGTGGGCGACCAGCAGCCAGCCAAGGTAAACCCACCAACAGCATGGAAAAAAATACATTCCATTGAAGTATAAAACTATCCATTTACTGACAGTGTCTTCTCAGATATCCTTAAAATGCTTTTTTAGTCCTATTTATATGGCACGGTTTTAAAAGCATTTATAGGAATTACGATGTATGCTTGAGATAAAAGATACTATATAAAAGTGTCCTCAAAAGTCAAACATATTAAACTAAAATCCTCTATCAATTGTCCAAGAGCCCTCTAAGCCTTTTCCAAGAGCTGTTGTTTTTTAAAATTAACTAAACATCAAGGCAGTATCACTGCTCTGCTGCCTACTCCATTTATCACAGCAGGGAAATAGATGCTACCAAAATCCCCAAAGCCCAAAGGCAGGTTTTTTTCAGCCAGACTAATGACAGAGCCACTGTCAGTGTGGCTTCACGCAGCCTCCGCTCATCAGGGGACAACGGAGCAGAGATGCCCTCAGCCCCCCGGGTATCGCAGCGATTATACGTACCGAACCTTGCCCACCCTCACAGCTGGGAGTTAAAGCTATTCGAAGAAAACAGCAGTAATTTAAAAAGCAAAGTGGACACAGAGATACTAAATTAATTCAAGCCAAGGTGCTACACAACCCCACCAAACACTTCTCTGAAAGCAGGATGGACTCACTTAAAAAAAACCCTAAGACTATGTCTTACTTTTATACTCTGAGAAAAACAAGTTATTCTCATTTAGCTCTCATTATGTAGTCTCAATTTTAAATGGATTAAACATTGATTTATAACCAGTTGAATACACTGGGGTGAGGAAAATATTCTCTCCACATCTGCAGAAGAGACAGCTGCTGACAGAAGCTGTTCCTCATCTCAGCGAATTGAGCTGCAGGTGCTGAGCTGGTAACTTGCACCCTGTCAGTGATGTAATTTTCTTTGAAATATACGCAGCTTAAATTAGATATACTAAAACTCAGCTTTAATAATATGTTTCATAAATACTGTCAACTTCAGTATGCTTTGCCATAATTCAAGTTGATTTGTAAATAGATTTATTTTCTTGTCTGACATCCAAAAATATTAATTAAGATCTGTCACTTGAGTTCCATTGAGGACAAACTTGAAACTTCATGCTGCTGATAAGGAGCAATAACACAATATTACAAGACAAGAAAAAGCAATCATTTCTGGCTGTTTGCCCAGTTATATCCAGTAAAAAGACTCAGCAATGCACGACTGCCTAGGGTATGATCAAAAACTTTGAGGAAAAAGCCTCATTGACACGAAGCAGAATTGACCAGTACAAGGAAATTGAGGGTGAATGAATTTAGAACAGCAGCTCTGGTCACAGTGACCGACACAGCCAAGGGCAGACGAATGCAACAAATACTGCCATGCCTTAGCATGGTGAAAATTAACAACCCCTACATTTTCTGGCACTACCACAATACACATACTGGCAGAACGCTGAGCACCTTCTTAAATTGGTAGCTAAGTAACATAGGGCTTTTATTCTCTTACCATTTTTGATGTTGGGTATAACAAGTTGCGTAGGTGAATTTCTGTTTCCGATGCCTTCTTTCTTTTGGTTGATGGTTGTGATGAAATTGCTGAAAGTAGAAAACTGATTTTTGGCTCCTCTCTCCAACCCCTGTAATTAAGATGACAGCATGCTATAAAGGGCTCATACATTACTGCAAGAGTCATCTTACTCATGAGTATTACACAGAATACTTAAATATCTTTTATCTTGAAATCAGAGTGGTAATACCTAATTAAGATGTAAATAATGCTTCTGCAAGTTTGTTTCAAATTGAGTTAGGAGAGATATCACAGAATTCCTTTACATTACATTCAAAAACTCAAGGATTAATTTGCAGGCTATGAAGTTACCCTTGGATTGCTGCGAGGAAAACACAGTACAATTAGAATGCTTTCAACTATATTTTAACTTTTTGTATCCTAATTTCTAATGACTTTTATATTTGTCACTACATCCAGAGCAAACACTTGATCCAGCAAACACAATCCAGAAATACAACAGACTTCCAAAGGAAGTCGGTCTGTTAGATACAGTTATTTACTCTGGAGGGGTTGCAAAGCCCAACTGCGTTAAAGGGCTTGCCCAAGGTGACAGAAATCCCGCTAGGGAGATTTTCGTTTCAATTCCAGCTCCAAGGCATCGGTTGATACGAGGCAGAGGCAAAACAACCCACAGAAAACACACACCCTCTCCCACACACCAGGGTTTTCAGCCTCACACTAACCCAACGATTCATCTGCTCAAGATCTAGTCCCTGCATTCCCAGTGAGAGATGATGTTCTCATGAAAATCAAAACCGTAACTCCCCAACGCAGAATAGAAATTCTGGAATAATTAACATAATATCCTATCAATGTTTTAAACCCATCCATTTCCCTTTCCCCTTAAGAGGGGCACACTGGCACTCAGAGATGCAGAGCTCTGAGGACACCACAACACCCCAAAATCCCACCAGGAGGGCAATGACCCCAACCCTAGACCTGCCACACTGCAGTGAGTGCCAGCTGGGACACGGCCAGGAATGTCGACTAACTGTGGCACATTATTCCATGGCTTATAACTCAGCAAATTATAAATTTGAACAATCAGCAGGACTTCTGGCTTTAAAAAAACCGAGTTTCAATTTCTAGCTCCACATTCCTTGTACGCAACAAACATTCAAAAATAAAACGTGATTACCACTATCATATCACTGTATGGAGAAAAACTGATGCTGAACAAACATGGGAAGACATAACTGACTGAAAAAGGCCTTTTAAACAAATCTGGATCTGAGGCTCATCTGCCACGTCACAAAATGTATTCTCTTGGTAGAAAAGCTCTGGAGCTTAGACCAGTTTAATTATGATTAATAGGGAGTAAATATCATAGATCATCAACAAGAGGAGCTTTTACGAAATGGACTATTCCAACAGCCTTTTTGACCAGCTCACTTCCCAGGTTTTACTCCAGCCACACTACTGAAATAGTAAGAGTTGAACAGTTGTTTAAAAGCCTTCCTCTTAACACCACCTCCCTCAGCAGCCAGCAGAAAGAACAAAAATTGCAGGTGCCATTTAACTCCACCATCCTGCTCCAAGTGCCCTTCCAACAATATTAAACAAATGTGGAGATTATTTTTTTTTTTAATTTTACTGGAAAGTATTCCCCTAGGGGAATACTGGGAAAGTACATGCTCATTAATGAGCATCTCTGCCATCTCCCAGGAGAGCAATCTGGGACAAGCACACAGCACCACGGCACACTTCAAAAATCTGTAGGAGGTCAGCGAGCCTCTAGAGCCTCTTCACACATACTGCCCCCAGAAAACTGAGCCCCACACCATGAACAAGCGTGTTTACAGGGGGTAAGTGGAGCAAAGTAATCTTTAATCCTGTTTTTTAAGAGCATATCATTAACTCACAACTCTGTTGGCTTCTTAGTGGAAGTTTTCCGAAGTTAAGCCCTCCAAAAGGCTGGAGAGGCACTAGCATTATACTTTATACGTGTATGGTTTTCCCTGTTGAAGTTAAATCAGATGGGGAAAATAAGCCACAGTGTTTGCAAATCTGGGAAGTGGCAAAAAGATCTTCTAGAATAGTTTCTTGAAAATTGTTCTTTAGTCCCAACGTAACTCAATCAAGACCAATACGTGCCTGGCAAGACAAGGCCAGTGAGGAGTAAATGGTTTTTCTTTCCCTTGCAAGAAGCCATGGAGGACACTCAGACTACCCAAAGGGAGCTGTAGATGAAACAGCCTATGCAAGTAGTAATATTTTCCCCTTCTTCCCCTTCATTCCTATCTTGAAAGATGTAACATCGGACTGGTTCTGCTTTACAGAAGCCCCTACGTGTTCCTGCTTTCCTGGGAGCAAGTTATTTAACTTCCCAGAAGTTTATTTTCAGAATCGGAACGCTGACCTCCAAACCATCACCCCTTACGCATTACTTCCAATCACCATTTGACACATAAGAAAAAGCCTGAACTCCTTGCATGATCACGTTAATTTATTCATGGACTAATTTAATCTCCACAACTTTCCTTAGAAGCCCAAATAAACCACCCCCAAACAAACCATCCCCAAACCCCCACCATTGTTCCACAATTCCACATGGCCCTTCCATGGGAAAAGCCACGATGTGAATGGCAATAGCAGTAAATCACATAATCCCTTTATTCCAACTTGCAGCCATCTTCAATCCCAGATGAGACATTTTTCGTGCACAGGCTCTTCGGAGAAAAAGGATACCACAGTTATCCATTGACTCCCTGAAATTCTGACCTTTTCCAGCTATTGCAGGGAATGGGAACTCTCTGAAGGATGTGTCACACCTTCACGCTGCCTTCGAGGAAGCTCTAGTCACTCCCGTCACACAAATCTGTGGTGGGTCTTTAGAGCACTGAAGAAAACGCCAATTACACACAATGTGGGGAGCTGTTCTGAGACAAGGACATCCCAGGCTCACTTGATGGAGAGACAAGATACAGTATCTGTATGACCACAGTCACCATATCACAGCTACAGATTTAGGAATATGCAGAATCATTCAAGTCATCTGGAGTATCACTGCATTTGTACCAGGTGTGTATTTTTAAAGGAAGGGAATTTTATTGGAGGGAAGAAAAACACAAATAAGCAAAGATATTTTTAAAAAGACAACCCTTTCTCCCTTTTGTCATTATATCCTATTAAAAACTTCTCCCCAGTTTAGTGGGGAGGAAGCTGAGAACACGTTTCTCTCTTTAAAAGCACTTGTGAGAATTGATTAAGTAACACTCATTTTCTGCTGCTCAATCAGAACTTTGAATACAAGGACTTGTATTAAAGTCACACTATATACAAAGAATCTCATAAAGCACTTCACAAAGCCCTGGAATTTGATGTGTAGGTCGGGCCAACAGTCCAATACCTTCATTACAACAACTCAAGTGTCATGCAAAAGCATAGCTGCATTGCCTATTTGATCAAAAACTGCATTCTGCTACAGCCAGAGAAACCCAGGGCCATGGCAATACCTACACCAGCCCCTGGATCTTTATTCTAAGGGACAGCCGGTTGCCATTTGAAGTCCGAAGCAGGGATTTTCAAAGGTACAAATAACTCCTGGGCATTTGTCCCTTACAGGGTTCTCCCACCAAATCCGTATTTGAATCACAAGAACAAACAGACGCTTCCACATTCAGCCAGATTTGCAAAGCTTGAAGCCTTTCAGAAGGCTGGAGCGTTGCAGGCACAACACAGAATTGGCAGAACTCTCACAGGAGTTTGCAGTTTGCCTACAACTACTTTTTAATAAATTGTAATTATTCCATGACAGTCATAAACAATCTTTTAAATGCAAATCACGTAAAATGGTAATGGCGTATCAGGTGCTTATCAGAACTGTTGAATTAAAATCTCGTAAGTGCCTTGCTTACCACAGGAATGGTACAATTTCTGCTCGGATGCTGGACTGCAGTAAGCTCCCACAGGCTGTAACACTGAGCTAGGTAAGCTATCGACTCACGCCAGGAAAATTTTATGTTTCATAATACTGTATGGTCAGCAGAAAGAAAATCACAACTCCAGTAAAACTGAAAATCTCAAACGAGGTTTTCCAAAATGAGATTATTCTGGCAAATATCCTTCCCACAGCTTTTTCTTTTTTTTCACTCTTGTCAACTCGTTCATCAAATACCGAAACGTTTTGTCACCTTCGCCTCGAGGCAATGTAACAGCCGGAAAAGACCTTTTAAGAAAGAAGCTAAAAAGGCAGGAGCGTTTTCCAGGTACCGCGTTGGGGGCAGCGAGAGCCGAACCGCCCCCCCCACACCCCCCGCGCAGCGAGCCCCGCCGTGACTAACCAGGGGAGCAGACCGTTGTAAAATGTTAAAGAACTATAAGTAGACGGGGAATTTATAGCTTCATTATGTCACAGCTTACAGACGCACTTGCTATTTTTTTAACAAGAAACTTGAATGGAAGCCTCTCGGCGGAAAAGAACACGAAGGAAAACGAACAGGGCGCTTCCCTCAGCACCGCCAACACGGCGGGAAAACGGGGCTCACGGGGGACCGGACCCGCGGGGGGGGACACGGGACGGCATGGGACCGGAGA